GGAATAAGGGAATATACTGGGGTTATATAGGGATATTGGAAAAGAAAATGGGAACTAGTTTTCAATAGGGTGTATATTTGCTTTGCAAATCACCAAAAGTCAGGACTCGAAGAAACAGGAATCCCTTCTTTGGGGTCTCCATCGTGAGGATTATAACGTTTTGGTGTACCAAGGAAAGGCTTGGGGCTTTGGGTTGGGGATTTTGTGTTTACATAAGGGGCAGAGGGGAGGTGCAGGCTTAAGTGCGTAATCAACAAACCCTGGTCAATGTATTCAACACCTTTAGCTTATGCTAAGTGCCTGCCAGTGATCATGAATACTCACCCCCCATAGTAGCTCCCAACCCGAAGCAATAGATACTTTCAATCTCGTACCATCATATATTTGAGGACTGCACATTATCAGGGGAGGACTTCTTACAACAATTGGGCTCTACTACGATTACTAAGTCGGTTGGATTTCAAAGTTTAGGTTTGTGGAAAGTTGCCCTAGACCTCCGAAGATATAGGGGCTGTACTAGGTAGGTCTACCACGAAACACTAGTGGAATCTTGAATAGTAATTACAGGCCACTCTACAAGATCACCACCTGGTCGAGACTTGATTTTGGATCCGGTGGGGAATAATTACCATGGTGATTCCAAGCTGAAACCCTAAACCCTCTTCCATTTAGCATTTTGTAGAAGATGTTTCATAGCAGGCCCTGAATTCTAAACGCTACCTACATCTGTCTGCACCTCGATGACAATTATCTTCTCGGTGACGATGCCGCCTGGTCGTCGGGTCTGGTGTAAGGGTTTAGGGTTTAGGGTTCAGAGTTTAGGCTCTGCGTCTCGGGTTTCGGCTATAGAACTAAAGGTTTTCAGTTCGGGGTTAATGGCCAAGACCTTCAGAGATCCCAAGAATAAGGGTGTAGGTATATAGGGATATGCAGTATTTGTGCTCACCAAGAATGTCCCTCCTGACTCGGGGGTTGTTCAGACATGTTCAGACAGAATGGACCAGTGCACGGAAGCTACTTAGGGGTTTAGGGCTTATATAGGGTTTAGGGGATTTAAACTCTAGACCCTAAGCCCTGGAAGCACAGTACCCTTGCTGACAAAGGCCTCATGAACTAACCTAGTAACATCAAAAATCCTTGCTGGCAGGAGCCTGATGTAGAATAGTTACCTATATCATGGAAGAGGTACCCTGGAGTAAAGTTATACAAGGAATCTAGGATCATAATGTTGGCAGTTATTTAGGCCACGATAATAGAAAATGTCTTGAGGCCCGCTGGGCAGGTGGATCCTTAGCGACATCTGTTCTGTCCCTGCGCGGTCTGTGTCCGAGACCCACTGTTTGTGAAAATCCCACCTGATCTCTGCAACCAAAGTCCGAAACCCCACGCTCCCAAAACCCTAAACCCGAAATAATAGTTTTCATTTTCTTTTCCATTATCCCAATACAACCCCAATATAGCCCCCAATCCTAAAATAGGACAACCTCCCCCTCACCCCAAGACTCTAACTCCAAACTCGAAACCCAATCACCAAATGAGCTGTAGTCTAATCTCCTAGTATCCCCCCCTTAATATCCCCTATAGTAGTCCCCAATATTTCCCCTTATATAACAACCCTTTGAGGAGTTGAGACTATGTAGCTCAAGTGGGAAGGCTGAACTCTGAACCGAAACTGCGGGACAGGCCAAGTCCTGCTTGGCTGTCCGAAAGCTCCGAAGCAAGGCGATCCATTTCCTCCTTCGCCATACTTAGGTTTAGGGTTTAGGGTTTAGAGTTTAGGGTTTAGGGTTTTCAAGGTTCAGGGCTTAGGCGGGTTCCTCAACATTTGCGACCTCTGGGGCTGCATATGGACAAGGGGAGGGGGGGTTTAGGGTTTAGAATATTGTCAGGAAGATTCCAGCACTGAAGGTCTCCAGGACATGCCGCAAACTAATATGTGGAACCTCCCGCATATGCATTTAGACTAGACTGAACTTAGATTCCTGGTTTACTTGCTGGGGAGTAGTCCGGGATGAGTGAATATCATCCCCATATCATCCTTGTATAATATATTCCCTTATTGCCTGCTAAGAACAAGTATTATTGGGACCCCCAGAATGGTACCTCTAATTTTGGAAAACCTAAGCCCGAAACCGTCTGTATTCTCGTGGGCACGACCTACGGCAAACTTTTTAAAGCAAACGCCGCTCTAAGGTGGACACACAAACCCTGGCAACGTCGATCTTTGGGCCGCGTCCTTTAGACTTAGGGGTTAAGAGTCTGGAGGTGGTTTGGGGTTTCGGGCTAAGGCCTTGAAACCGCAACCCTTGACCAGCTGTCTCCTGCACCCAGTCGTAGCCATTCTCCTCGGGAAATTGTTGGGTGAACGGGGTACAAAGGGTGGGCGCCCTAGACCGGGGCTCACGGTTTAGCGATGTGGGTTTGGGCCACCCCCGAGTTCTCCTAAAACCTAATTTTACATAGTAGCTTCCATTCCATTATCCATTTGATTTTCGAATTGCTTACCCCTTCAGCTAAAGACCCCCACCTTAGATAACATCGGGCTCACTTTATGCGATCCTGGCTTTACTCATGGGTTAGGGAACCCACTTCAAGAGGGCTACAAACAGGGCCATGAAAGGGCTTACTCAAGGATGTAGTACCTATCTGGGGCACCTGGCTTCAAGGGGGCTACAATAGGGCCTAAATAAACACTAAGCCATCAACAACCCTAAGCCCTAAACCCTAAACTCGAGCGTCCGTTAAAATACGCCCTTGCACTCCGAGTGCCTTGCGCCTTTCAGCCCCAAACCCAAAACCTTGGACTGAAATTCGCCACACGTTGGCCCCCTGACCTCCAGTCCAATGAAATCCTACATCTAACTCTGGCTCTAACCACAAACCCTAACCCCTAAGGCTTGTGACAATGAAGGTAGGTTCCCTTACCCATCAGTAGCCTTTGGGTCGCACAAAGTAGGTCATTCACCGTGTTTGGAAAGCGGCGTTTCAGGATAGTCCCTGATCAGTACATAATCCAACGTACAGGGAACCTGAAATTGAGAGCCCCAGAAATATGTGACAAAAGGGGCCGACCCTGGTCTAGGGGCTCAACGTCAACAATTTAGGACTGAAGCCTTTCTTGTTTCAGGGTGTTCAACGTAGGGCTCCATTTGGTTTTAGGAGTTTGTCTGGAGGATGTTGAGGGTTGGAAGCTGGGGCGTCACAAAAACAGGGGCCAGGGATACATGGGAACTACCAAGAACGAGCTAGGGTTCTTATTCAGGATAATGTAGGCATCATTTTAACACTCCCATGTCAAGCTTCTTTACATGGTAGTGCCGACTACAGCAGGGCACAGGAGGAGGAGCCTTCCAGGGGCCGGCCTCCAAATGGCCTTGCAGGGGCCGCCCAAAATATTTCAGGGTCCAGGGTCTAGGAGCCAGGCTCCCACGGTTTTGTAGGGGGCCTCTCAAGAACTTCTCAAAGTGGCCTCCCAGGAACTTCAAAAGCCATCGCAAGAACGACAACATACAATAAAGATGAGCTTGTGTTGTCGACCAAGATGGACCTAACTGAGTTCAGGTCCTAAACCACGGAGTAGGTTTGGGTGGCTTGGCCTCCTCGGACGGCGTGGGGTGGGTGAATGTGTTAGATGGCCTCCTGCTGTCAGGCCATGGCCGCACCTCGCAATACGATTCACGCGACGTTACCTGGCAGCTCGTCTGCTACATGTTCCACCTAACATCACAGCAAACCCT